TGTTGCATCCCTCACTCCGCCAGGCCTGCTGCTGTTATGCACTTGCTGTGCTGTACGCATGGCCCAGCGAGAGTAGGAAGGCACCAGGTCACTGCAGGTGTGGTGTCCCTATTCTATCCCTCACCCTCCCTCTTTCCTTCACCCTCTGGGGACGTGCTCTCAGGCACAATTACTTGGGTACCGTCCCAGTTAGGAATTCCATATTTGGCTATGAGTAAGCTTGGAGGGGAGAAGACAGGTGTGTTCAGAATGGAGCACGGGCTTGAGAACTGCTGCCCTTTGAGGGGCCGTAGAAGGCAGCCAGTGGTTATTAAATCAGCGGCTCTTCACTGCTGCAAGGGGCAGCAGCAAGCTGTGGCAGGAACAGCAGGCTTTGGAGGCAGGCGGATCTGGTCTGGAATCCTTGCTTAGCCACTTAGCAATCGTTCACCCTCAGGCAAACTACTGAGCATATCTGAGTGAAGAACCAGCAGAAGTACATGCCCAGACAGGCCGGGAGGAGGCTGCTCTGGAGGCTACCAGGAGATGCTTGACCCCAAGACGGGGCATGAGAGCAAAGATGCAAACCCGATACCCTAAGCCATTTAAACCAAGTTCAACAGCACTAGAAATGCCCTGCTTTCCTCCATTCATTTTAAGAAGCTTCTCTGTCCCAGCAGTGATTTCTAAACACAAAAAGGTAGCACAGAGCAGGACTTACGAGCAGGGACTTTGACAGACAGCCTTCAGGTGATCTTTGGCAAATTAGTCCCCTTCTCAGTGTCTTCCATCTGTGAAATGGGGATATGAGTAATGCTGGCCCTAAAGATGCCATCTCATTTCATCCTTGAAGCACCTTCCGGAGAAAGGTGATTCAGAATGCAAAACCCAACAGGGCCACATGGGAGGTAAGTGCCCACAGGTGTCTATAGGAGAGCAGCCAGGAGGGTGGCCTCCAGTCACCTGGAGGGCACAGTTAGTCCTAAACCATGCAGTTTCAAATATTTTAACATATACTTCAGGGCGGCATCTGTGGGTAGGGTGCCGGCCCCATATACTGAGGGTGGCGGGTTCAAACCCAGCCCCGGCTGAACTGCAACAAAAAAATAGCCAGGTGTTGTGGCAGGTGCCTGTAGTCCCAGCTACTCAGGAGGCTGAGGCAAGAGAATCGCCTAAGCCCGGGAGTTGGAGGTTGCTGTGAGCTGTGTGACGGCACGGCACTCTACTGAGAGCGACAGAGTGAGACTCTGTCTCTATTTAAAAAAAATAAAAATAAAATATACTTCATGGGCTGAATACTGGGTATTTGCCAAATCCGTCCTGCCACATGCCAGTCCCAGATGAAGAGGGAGATGGGCCTGGGGGCACAGAGCTAAGTTTAAGAGGGACGGAGGTTGGGCAACCCCTGGCAGAGGGCCTCACACAGAGGGCAGGTACTGTCGTTGGCGTTACCCTCACTTCATTCTTCCCCCTTCGTGCTGTAGCAGGGAGGGCCCCGGGAGCGTGGAGGAAGACGCTTCTGTACGCCCGTCCCAAGTTGAATGTCAGCCCCTGCAGCTTACTCGAAGCATTATTCATTTTCTTATGGTCTGATCCAATCATATTCAAATATTGACAAAAAATGCTTTTCCCAGTTAAATAGGAACAGCTGGACTATTCACCACTCTGCATTAGTCATGCCACGCTTCTTTCTCAAACATGAAAAATTAAGAATTGTGAAAGGACACAGTCCCTGGTGAGAAGGATTGGGGATCTTGAAAAATAATTAATATAAAGTTCTCTTGAGAAATGTGAATCTTTCCAATAATCCTGGCGTCTGAGAGCCTTTCCCTTTATCACAGTCATGCAGTTGACTTAAAGAAAAGGTGTCAGGTTGTTTTTCCTAATTGACAGACTTGATTGACAGAATGGTCCCCGAAGTCCCATAATTGAGCAAACAGCTTGTCATCATACAAATAATTAAAATACCACTTGAAAAACGCACACTGTGACAAGAGCTGACTTCAGCGTTGTTCACAGCTCCTCGTCTGAACACAGATTTTCAGAAGACACGAGCCCTTTTGTCGCTTCCTGTAGCCACTGTAAGGCAAGCGGTGTTTCAGGAGCCACTGAAAGGAGGCGGGGCGGGGCCTCAGCGCGGAGGGATTTTGTTCCACGCAGCGGGCAGAGTCTGGGAGGTGGCTGCCCCTAGTGACCACCGATTTGCCTTAAGCTGAAGCGACCAACTGCGCGACTCCCATTTCAGCCTTTGTGTCTCTGTTTTCCTTTCTGTGTCCCTTCAAATATGGCAAACTGCACGAATTTAGTTTTAGTTTTTTTTTTTTTTTTTTCTTAAGGCAGCAGATGGAAATCGCAGTGATGCTGCCTGGCTTCCTTGTCCTCCAGCAGAGGTGCCCATCACTCTGCTGTCACCACGAGCTTTAGTTCACATTTGGATCTCATTTGCTCCGAAATGTTTGCTTGGAACTTAAACATTTTCCTTTTCAACAAGAGGCTTGTAGCCTCCTCCTTCTGCTTGAGAAGGAACCTCTGCGTCCAGCCCTGCCCCGGCTTCCCCAGGCCCACATCTGCTCTGTCTGAAAACCTGGGTGGTTGGTTCAGAAGGACCAGCACGGCCCACAGAATCTGCAGGTGTCAGACTTAGAAGGGACTTTTGTTGGCTCAGTTTATTTTACAGACGAGCCTGCAGGAGCCGCCTAGTTGGAGGCCTTTCCTGGGGTTCATGTCTCCCAGGCCGAGTCTCTCTTGGCTGTCTGTCACCTTGCCTGCATCCTGGATTTTTTTGGTGGGTGGGAAAGATTTGTTCCTTTGCATTTTCAGATAAGGAAGTCAGGGCTGAAAGACAAGAAGTAAGTTGTCGAAGGTAATAGAGTTTAAAGTCACTACAGACTTGATACCTGGGTTTTTCAGACGCTAAGTGCTGTGTCACCTCCACTCTGGCTAGAATGAGTCCCCAGTGTCACGCTGTTGTTCCGTCTAAATGCTGCTTAGCCTTGCCACAGACCAACCAGAAATCTAGCCTGTGCTCTGTCCTTGTCCCTAAGTATAGTTTCTTATTCCATGGTTTGTTCACCAGGAATGTGTCTCAGTGATTTTCAAATCTGTATTTTGAGCCCTGGTTGCTTTGTGATTGTTTAGGCCAAAGCCTTATAAGGGTAGGAATGAAGTTATTTGCAATATTATCAGCACCTGGAACTGTGCATATCAGTGTTGGTTGAACAATCCCCAGGCCGCCAACCCTCGGCCCATGGATCCCTCTCCTGCGGCCCAGGGAACAGGTGTTTAGGGAAGGGCTGATTTTTCTGAACTGGAAGGGGCCAGGTCTCACATGAGATGTGGTAGAAACAACAGACGTGGGGGTGCATGCGACAATGTCCTCCGTAGTGCTGAGCAGTATTGTGTTGTAGGGCTCACTTTGGCGTGAACTTAGAAGGCAGTAGGTTACACAGGAGACCTTAAGGAGGGAAGGGGATGAAGAGGAGGAGAGGACAGTGGCTCATTGAGATAAGATGCACATTGCTGTGGCTGTTCTTGAGAGATGTCTGTTCTCATTCTTGGCCTACTTTTTAATGAGATTGTTCTCCTGCTGTGCAGTTGTTGGAGTTCCCTTTGTACTCTGGATATTGGTCCCTTGTATGAAGACTTTGTAGATACTTTCTGCTGTTGACAGGTTGCTCTTTACTCTTACTGTTTCCTTTGCTGCAAGAAGCTTTTTAGTTTGCTGTGGTTCCTTTTGCTCAGCACCACTAATCACAGGACAATGCAAATAAAACCACCGTGAGGCTGTCATCTCGCCCAGTCAGCATGTCTACTATCAAAAAGACAGAAGAGGACAAGTGCTGGGAAGCACGCAGAGAAAAGGGTTAAACACTGTTGGTGAGAATAATACAGGCACAGTGGAAAACCATATAGTGGTTCCTCAAAGAGCTAAATGTCAAACTGCTGTAAGGTCCAGCAATCCCACTGCTGTACGAAAGAGAAGTCAGTCCACTGAAGGCTGCCTGCACCTCCATGTTTATTACAGCACTGGTCATGACGGCCGAGATGTGGACCCGACCCAAGTGTCCATCAGAGGGTGAACGGTTAAAGAAACTGTACACACAATGGAAATACTATTCAGCCATAAAAAAGATGAAATCTGTCATTTGCAGGAAGGAACCAGAGGCCCTTACGTTAAGTGAAATAAGCCCAGCCCAGGAAGACAGAATCACACGCTCTCACTCTTACGTGAGAGCTTAGAAAGTTGATCTGATAGAGGAAGAAAGTGGAATTGTGGTTACTAAAGGCTGGGAAGGGTAGTGGGGAGAGGGGGAGGCAGAGAGGGTGGGAGATGGGTACCCACATATGGTTCTATAGAAGGAATAAGTTCTAATGCTCGACAGTGTGGTAGGGTGACTGTAGTTAACTATAATTTATGGTGTATCTCGACATGGGTAGAGGAGAAGATTTGGAATGTTCCCAAGATGAAGAAATAATAAATGTTTGAGATTTGATCATTCTCTTGCATGCAAGTGTTAAAATATTATATGTACCCTATACATAGGTATAATTAATATGTACAATAAATTTTTTCTAAAAAGTTAATAAAAAAAAAGATGAGGTGGGGCTCTATTACCTGCCCACGTTGCTCAGTGTGATGTACCGGGCCAGGAGTTCTGTTGAGCTTGGGGGGTGCCTGCTTTTGTGGGGGCACTCAGCCTTTTCCACTCAGTCTGAAGCACTTACTAAGTGCTTCACGCAGCACTAAGGCATTTTCAAAATTAACAATCCCAGTAAACAGAACTAATACGACTAGGTTGGGGTTGTGTCATAGTGGGTTTTCTTTGAGGGAGCTGCTAATTACTGATAGGCTGTATATGAGCTATTTAAAGAAAGCAAGACTGATTCCCACCCAGCCTCCCACCATATAGAAAAGTGTAGAAGGGTTAGAGGCATTGGCCTGTGGATTCTGTGCAGGCAAATAAGGTGTTTTCCTTGCTCGTGTGGTAACCTGGCTGGGGATTCTGGAGGGACAGTTCGTGTGTTTTCCCTTCTTTTCACTGGTCCCTGTTTAAGTGCTCCGGTGCCCACTTGTGGGAGTTGTCTACCTGGAGAGGAGTATACAGGGGACCGAATGGTGACTTTGGACTTCAGGGGCTTGGCCTGCAGTCTCAGACAGGAAGAGAAGAGAAGCCGAGAAGAGAGTGTTTGCACCCTCTCGGCCAGGAGGGATTTAACCCTGCTTGTCATAAACAGGAACCCATTAGCTTAAAGCAGAGTGATGATTGCTGGTAACCGGGCGAGTGAAGGAGGAGAGGCAGCCCCCACATGAATCATGCAGGAGGTGTGCGGATGGGACGTAGTGAGAGTCCATTGATAAATTCAATGCCATGTGGTAAATGACCACCCAGGAGACAGTGCTCAGGGGAGACCTGATTGACTTCATCATTGATTCAAGGCTAATGCATTTTTAATGGCTACTCCGATGCATTTTCTAATTGGTGATTACATCACCGTGTGTTCCAGAATAAAGCATGAATCATCCTCCAGTGACGAGGAGCACGCAGCCTCCAAGCCGTCCAGCACAAGCCACCTCCCTCTTTTGTCTAACGTCAGCTACAAAAAGACTCTCCGGCTCACTTCAGAGCAGCTGGTGAGCTTCTTATTACAGCCCCACAGGCTCCCTGGGGTGCAGAGTGGTTCCCCCACTTCTGCTTCCAGCACTGCCAGCCCAGCCTGCCCGCTGCCCCTCGCCTGGCCCTGAGTTCCCACCTGACCCCAGCACCCATCCTTTTGCTTGCTTTTCCCTTTGTCTTCCCCTTTCTCCAACCCAGCCCGGGAGGCTCTTGTTTTCCAGTGTTGGGAGGAAGGCTGAGCTAACTGATCCCGAGCTCTCAACATTGATAGACTTCAAAACCTCTCAAGGGGGTTTTGCTGTTCAGAGGAATGTTTGTTAACTCAAACGCATCTCTTTAAATTGGTGGAATTTAAGCAGTTGTGATGGAATTTAGGGAATTTCAGGTAGCAAGGGGCATCATCTGTTTACAATGTCCTCTGTGCGAGCAGGCGTGTGTGTGTGTGTGTGTGTGTGTGTGTGTGTGTGTG